AGTGAAAAAAATTCATCAACCATTAGAAAATAACAAGCCTTAATTAAAATTATAATTTCGATTTTATATTGACTAGCATTATAGGAAGAGAAAATAGCATGCAATTGAATTCTGAATATAGTTCTGGTTTGTTTGAATTTCTTTTTCAATCAATATTAGCATTCCACGAACTTTTCCTTTCCTTTATTTATTCAACAATTTCTTTTTCAATATATCCAGCATATTCATTCTCTATCACAATCGGTTATAGCAATTCCAGAATATTCGAAATAATAATAATTTTTGGATTATTATTATTAACCGAATAAGATATTAAAACTTGTTACAGTAACCCTTGAATATCTAAATACAATAACTATCAGATTATTGTTATGCAAATGACCATAATATAATCAGTTGTGTATTCTTTTGGAAGCTTTTTAAAAACAAATTTCTAATATTAAATTAGGTAAAAATGGATAAGAAGCAATTGTTCTTTACCGTATCAACCTGCTTTCTATACCTAATTCTTCTATATTGATATATTAGCATCAATCATTTCAGGAAAAAGAAGTTCTATAATTTTGATTATTTGTGCAATCATTGGTGCAATAATTTGCTTTGTCATCTTCTCGCTTGCATTTTTCGGAGCTATTTTTTAATCAAATATATTTTGCAGAATCAAATTTGATTCATATGATTGTAATGTAAAAATTAATACTGTGGATACAGTAATTCAAATTTTACGGATACTGTATCAGATATTGTATCCATGCAATCTATCTGAAAATATTGTACTATCACATCATTTGTTTTGCATAAAGGTAAAGTTTCTAGTAGAAAAGTAAGCATTATGAATAATGGATGCCATTGATGGGAAACAAAAAAGAAAAAACAAGTTAAAGGTTAATTAATTAGGTTAACTTTCATTCAGCATACATATAAACCTCATATCGTATATGTATTACTGTATTACAGTAGCAATGGCTTTTTCCGAATTTCATTTAAAATATTTTTAAATGGAATAATAACAGTCTTTCTCATTGATTCTGCTAACTGATATTTTTTGTTTTCACTTATATTAAATATTTAAGAGTATTTCACGCAACCTTTCGACAATTTTGAATTATATAAAATTATATGCATATAAGATTTTGTAGGATAAATAATAAACGGATGAGAAGAGAAAGAGATAAATAAGAATTATATCGAAAATTTTATCTGCAGAAAATTTTTCGCAATAAAACAAACGAATTCTTTTATCAATTTTCCTGCAACATCTCATATACTAATTTTATCAGAGATTTTTCAAAGAATTGCCTTCGAGAAATTGGAAACATAATTGAGATAATTTATTGATCATTCAGGATGATAGTTTTATATTATCGAGAAATGGCAGAATAGAATTGTAGCAATTTATCAATTTTATAATTTCCGTTCAGTATATTTAATCAAACAGATAAAGGGATGATTCTATCTCCTCATATCTGTTTGATTTATATTTTCTCAGCAGGTTATTGTTTTATTTCAATGTTAAGATAAACTTGAGCTATGATATATATAAGTGATCTTCAGCTTCTTATGTATATTATTGTGTCCGAATTTCAACTAATTATCGTATATCTCAAAATTAAGTGGAATTAACTGAAGTATTTTGTGTTATTATTACATCATAAAATTCTGAATGAAAATATAATCATCACTGAAAATCTTATATACAAGATGATACTATGTTTTTTAATAGAAAGTAGAAAATATTTGGGTACTAGTTAGTATGTAAGTGAAATAGTGATTTATAAGTTCAGAATATTTATCTAAAGCGTTAGCTGTTTTTAATAAGATTCAGAATGATTCTGAATCTTATCAAAAGTGTTTTGCTTCTGAGTGAATTGATTCCGACAGTGAACAACGGTTTCTTCGCACCATCTAGCGTTTTATTTCTCATCAGATACAAATCAAATGATTCACTAAATTTCTTCATTTATTTCAAATTTCCTTCATTCTTCGAAGAATAGAAATATACAGAACAATTCACGTAGTAAATTTTAAATGTCTTTCAAATCATTTGATGCAAGCATGATTGGGAAGTGATGGAACGTAGAAATCGTCAAAGGCTTTTCGAAAAATATTTTTAGCAGACAACTTGCAAAGCGAATTGACATCTACCAGAGAGGACCGATTTTATGCATTCTGGTTAGCCGTACGATCTATGACCAAAAGTGATCACAGAACTCCGGTCTTTTCGCATAATATTTCTGATTCCACTAAACTCAAAAATTTTCTGCTAGTTACATTGAACAATAATAGTTTCACACAAATGCGATTACAACTGGTAGCATTATCCGGGACTGTCACGAAATTTTCACAAACTCGGATGTTATCCTTTTTTGCTGAGAAGGAAAGTTTACAATTTATTTTTATTACATTAAAAATTTGAAATTGAAATTTCTTTCTTTAAATTATTTCCAAATATTGCAAGCTTCTCTTTTTTGTATTTTTTCAACTAAAATGTCTTTCAAATTGTTAGAAATTTGAAATTGAAATTTCTTTCTTAAATTATTTTCTAGTATTTTGTATTTCTTCAAGTAATTGAAAAATTGAAAAATTTTTTTAGAATTTTCTTTTTTCATTAAAAATTGAATTCTTTTTCTGTGCACAAATACATTCATACTTTCTCTTTCATTATTCGTTTATAAAATATAAAATAAATAAAAAATTCTAAACTTCGTTCGAAAAATCACATACGAAATTGCCGCATTATACACAAACAAAACAATATAATATAAAATAAAATAATTTTTATGAAAAAGGAAAAGAGAATAATTTTTTAATCAAAATGATAATTCTCGAAATTACCTTTAAAAGTAGAAAATAAGCTTCATTCCTTTTTCCTTTTATCATTTACAATAAACAAACAGCCAATATAATAAATAAAACAAAAATGAAATAGTAAAAATTTTTTTATGAAAATGAAAAATATCACATTTGATGAGATCTCATTCATAATATGATCGATTGATGAATTCTTTTATTTACTTGTTTATTGTTTGTTGTTTACAATATGAGAGAAAAAAAAGATGGAAATGAGGAATGTTATTGAGGTAACTGTATGTTATAGTATTTTATGAATTATGGTATTTACATTTAGTAGGTAATAAAATGTTACCGTAGTTATTTATCATAGAGAATGATAGAAAGAGTTGATAATAAGAATAATAATAATGATAATTATGTTTAGGAATTTTCTTTTAATTCCTTTTGCAATATTTGTTTACAAATAGTAAACAAAGAAATTAAAATTATCATATTTCTACCACTGAAATATCATTAAAAATGAATAAATTATTATTTGAGATAATTTTGGAAATTGTAATAAGTAATTAAATACTAATCATTTAAAACGAATCATTTAATGAAATAATTAAATATACAATTTCTTATTTAGTTATAATTTTGAACTTACCTAAAATTTCTTATCATTTGATTTTCATTTGCAATAATTTAGTTTTAATTTGAAATACTTTACTATTTTCATGTTTCTTCTTTCTTTTAAAACAATAGCGTAATATTGCTGTATTAATAATCACGAGATAATTATAAGTATTCATAATTTTTTCATAAAAATTTACTAATGGTAATTATTTAATGGTTTATATTTCGATTAACATTATCGAAATAATAATAATGAATATGATAATAAATAATTGGCAATAATTAATAATAATTGAATATAATAATGACTAATTAATAATAATAATAAATATAATAAAAACTAAATTATAAATAGATATAAAAATAACTAATTGACAATAATTGGTAATTATAATTGAATACAATAACTGTTTAATAATAATAACTAATTGATAATAATAATTAATAATAACAATAAATATAATAATAACTAAATGATAATAATAACAATAAATATGGCAATTAATTAAAAATAATTATTAATAGTATTACTAAGTAATCGATTTAGAAGTGCATTATTACTACTGTATTATCTTTATTTCCAAATTTAATTTATGCCAAAATATAGTTTAAAAAATTTCACTTATATTCGATTAAGTTATTTTCAACTGAGTTATTCAATTTCTTAAAATAATTTCTTATCGGTGATATGAGAGCAAAAAAAGAAGAAAACAAATAATATTCGAACATTTTAATTATTTTACTAGAAATTAATATAAAATAGAATTACTGATTTTAGTATTAATACATAATTAATAAGTATATTAATTCCATACATATTTACAAATGAATTAATTAATTTATTGAGAAAAATTATGAAATATATGAAGAAGAATGTAAAACTATTATTTACAAAGATTTAATATATAATTTAAAATTTAATAAGCGATAGAAAAATCATTCATTTTTTCAGCTTCTATCTTATCCTACAACGAAAACCATTAATGGAATTTTAGTACAAAAGGAAAAAGTGGTAAAAAATTCAGGTTTAATTTTTAGAAATGAATATTAATTAATTGTTGAATTTTCAACTCTTAATTAATTAATTAATTAGTCTAAGCAATCAATCAATTGATTATTTTAGCCTTTGTGATAAATAATTTAATTATTCATTAGAAATGAGTAATAGTTTACAGTTGAACTTTTATTTTGATTTTTTAACTCCTAATTAATTAGTCCAAACAATCAATCGATCGATCATTTTAGTCTTTGTGATAACAATTTAATTATTCAAATATGCGAATAATAATTCTTTTATTTCTATATTAAAAAAGATTTTATAAGATAAGAGTAGTATAAAATTTAAGCTAAATTTTTAAAAATGAATATTAATTAATAGTTGAATTTCAAACTCTTAATTAATTAGTTCAAACAATTAATCAATCGATCATTTTAACCTTTTTTACCACAATTTATTTAATCAAATATGCGAACAATAATTCTTTTATTTTTATAATAAAAAGAATTAGTATAAACTTAAGTAATAAATATATTATGAACAGGTAAAACTATTTTATAAATTGAAAACAAAGAAAAAGAATTTAAAATAATTAAAAAATCTCATATTCAAATACTATGAAAATTAGCATAACTAATACTAATCTATTCATATTGTTGCACTGTTGTTGTAAATTAATTGAACCGGATATTTGTTCCGGATTAATGAATGATGATGATGATTCACGAATACATTGCATCCATTTATAGCCAGCTTTCGAATCGTATAACGTTAAATTTTGTCTACCCGTAAAATAATGACGTATATAAGGTGAATATAAATCGATGATATCATATTGTGCATCAGCAATTTGTGCAACAAATATTTCATCACCACTAATTAATAAATCAAATACGCATGCATCAAAAAATGCATCGGTTATATTTGCACGATTACATCGTTCTGTAATTATAGAAATTTAATTTTGGATTAATGAATGAAATAATTTTAACGGTTGTATTAAAATTAAAATATTTTTAAGTAATCATATTTCCAATTAAATCTTTGATAACAAATAAACATATAAGTGATTAAATTTTAAACATTAATTAATGCAATATTTAAAATATGCAAATTATAAATTCTATTTTACTTAAATACTCTAAAATATAATTAATATATACGTATTGGAAATAAGTACACACTTATAATTGATATACTTTAAATGATTTCTTATTTTAATAAAAATTAATTATTGTAAAAATAAAAGATTTAATTAAAGAAATTGTTTGTTTTTCTTTTAATATAAAAATCAAAATTTATTATCAAACTTTAACAAAAATTTTAAAACGAGAAATTACAATTAATTTACCAATTGCAACTTTTAATGGAATTTTCATTCGAATACCATGACATCTGGTAAATGAAATAGGATTTGCTAATGCTTCTTCAAGTTTTATCATATCACTACGACTACAACCCGTTGTACAAATATCAAATTCATTATCTGTTTGTTCCTAAAAACAAATAATTTCATTAAATCATTTTAGGATAGCGAAAAGAAAAAAACTCTTTTTCATTTTTTAAATTCTTTTCCTGTTTTTATTTTAGATTATAATTGTCTCGTAATACTAAAATATAATTATAATTCTAATACTAAAAATATAATTATAATTTATAATTATAATTCTTTCATAATAGTAAAAATATAATTATAATTTTAATATTAAAAATATAATTATAATTCTTTCATAATACTAAAAATCATAATACTTTAATCAAAAGATAATAGGTGGAATATAACGGAACTTATATTTCTTTAGAAATGAATTAATTTATTAATTATTTGTTTTCGAAAAGAAATGAACAATAATTTTATCGGTTATCCAAAAAGATACAAATGAAAAAATTTTGTTGTTATAATAATATGTGAAATAAATTGTAAAAGACTACAGAAATAAAATATAATTATATATATATATATCTCAACATATTATACGACATGTATATTTATATAAATTATATTATGGTATATATATACCATACGATTTCATACATTATGTATATGTATACTATGAAATACTTTCATAAAAAAAAGTTGATTACCTGGACGATTCGTTCAGGTATCCTTAAAGCAACTGATAAATATGCTCCATGTCGTCGGATATAAATTGTTGTAGCTATATAACGTAATATAATTTCAACATAAGTTTGATTTAATGATTTAATTTCCACCGGTTTTCGTTCTGAATTACCAACAAATATGCTACCATCCGTAAATGAATTAGGTAAACGCTCATCATCTGATCCTACTTCATATTGTTTACGTGATGTACAACGTCCATTTTCTTTCACTATTACAGTAACCTGGAAAAAAACGTTTAAATAATATTAATTTTAATATTCCTAAAAGAGAAATTATTATTATTATCACTGCAACCTTATAATATCGTGTATCATATCATTTAATTTAATATATAACTATAACTTCATATAAATATTTCATATTTAATAAGATGCATATGGTATAGAATTTTTACTAAAAGAATCAAATTACATTAATTTTATACTTATAATATCTAAGCAAATTTCATTTTATATGATTATACTAAGATATAGTAATTTAATACAATATTCCTTGCATAGCATTTATATTATTACTAAAATATAATGATACACTTAAATATAGTAATAAATTATACCATATTAATTTTATACTTATAATATCCAAGTATAGCAAAATAGTTAAGTATAGAAGTTTCATTTTATATGATTATATTAAGATATAGTAATTTAGTACAATATTACATGCATAGCATTTATATTATTACTAAAATATAATGATACACTTAAATATAGTAATAAATTATACCATATTAATTTTATACTTATAATATCTAAGTGTAACAAAATACTTCAGTATGGAATTCTATGTGGCATATTACTTTAAACTAAAATTTATTCTAATTTTTAAATCGAGCTTACTATCCATATTATTTTACTGCCGATCGCAATTTTTTTATTAATGGATAAAAATCGTTTTTTCAAAATTAATTTAAAATTAATAAATCGTGTGAACTATATACCTTGGAAATACCAGTGGTACCACTTCCAAGAAATGAATGTGTAATTTGTATCAGCAAATGTTTATTATTTATCAATGGATAAGCACCACGATGAGCACATGTTATAAAATGTCCATTTAATGTGCGCAAATGTCGCGATCCAAAAAGTGCACAATAACGTTGCATTGCATGAGGAGCAGTATCAGTGGGAAATGCACATCTGAAATGAAATACACAAATGTCATAATTTCACTAATTATATATTATTATTACAGGTAGTCTTTGCTTCTTTTACAATTGAATTTTCAAATTAGTAGCAGAATTTTTTAAAATAAGTTATCAAAATTTATAAACAATTGAAAAGCACCAATAATTATTTGTTCAACAAATTAAATAATTTAATTACCAAGTATTTAAGTAAATTAATCAATTTCATTGAAATTAGCACGCCAGAATATAAACCGATAAACTACAAAAATTATCGCAAATTTCTTCGTTAATTTGCTTTTTTTTTGTTTTAATTAAAATTCCTGACAATTTTAATTTTTTAAAAGTTGAAAAAGAAAAGTGCCAATCACCCAATAGGTATATAATTACTGGGTTTCATAGTTTCCGGGAATGAATTGCATGAAAATTCACGACGTTGCCGATGAAGTAAAGTTTGCAATGTATGATATTTGAGATTACCGCGACATGTACGATTCGTTTCACTCAGGCAATGAATATAATCAGTTATTATCTATAATAAAATAGATTATAGAATGGTTGATAGGTTAAATTATATAAAGTTAAATAAATTAAATAAAAGAATTTAAATAAATTAAGTACTAAGTTAAATAAATTAAATAAGAGAAGTTATAATATATAAACTATAAAATATATAAAATATAAAATTAAATTCTTTCTATATTTTCTCCTTTTTTTCTTAAAATTTTGTTTTAAAAAAAAAACAATTTTATTATTTAATCATAGTGTCCTTTTGGGTTTCCATGAGTAATTCATTAATTAATATTTGTTACTAAAATTATCTAATTATTATAATTATATTTTAGACTTATCAATCGCATCGGTTTCAATTAAGTCATTTCATTGAGATCGATCTTAATCAAAATCTTAATTAAGTCCAGGCAGATGATATCATGATTCGTCTTATTTAGTTTAAATGCGTTAATAATTTGAAATGAGTTAAAATATTCGAATGATTGGAAATGAAATTATTGAAATTACTTAATTCGTTTGTCATGACATAAGTTGCTTAATGAATGAAATGTTCTGATTGTTTGCATTATTCAGTAACTAATTAATTTACTAACTTATTAATTTATTATATTACCTGACAATATGGTGCATTCATACCGATAAATATGCCACCTTCATCCAATCGTTCCGAATAGATATTAGCGCAATATTCAACCATACAACCGTTTCCTATAATTCATTAAAATTATCAATTAAAAATTATTATTTAATTACTTTATTGATTTGTAAATATTTTAAAATTATTTTTAAAAAATTATTTTAATGAACTATGCTTCCAATATTAATCGTAATTATTGTAGATCGATTACAGTTATCATCATTATCAATAATTATTATCATTATTTCTGATCATTCAATTCATTTTCATTATTCTAAAATTAGCGCTCCGATTATTTCTTATCACTTATCTTAATCATTGCAAAATTATTAACGCAAAATTATTTATTAACATAATAATTTCAGAACTTCTACCTTTTCCTCATTTTAGATAAGTTCTGTAAACTATTGATAAATTATGATGAAGCAGAAAATGTAAATTAAAAAACAAAACAAATTTAACTATAATATCAAGCATATATTTCACTAGAAAATCTATACTAAACAATATCCGGAATAATCGAAATGCTAATTTAAAATAATGAAAATAATTTGAATGATGATAATAATTATGATAATGATGTTAATTATAATCAATCTACAGTAAATAATATTAATACGGAAACGTAATTCATTAAAATAAGATTTTAAATGGATAAAGTTTATTTTTTGAAAAGTAGTTTAAAAATATTTTCATATACTCTTGAATTTAATGAGAAAATTTAACTTTAAATTTTCATAACGATAAAAACTATTACCAAATTTAAATTATTAAAATTTGAAAAAGAAAATAACGATCAAATAAAGCAGATACCATGATTTATTATAGCAATTAGTATTATAGCTAATGTAACAATCAGTAATTTGTAGAGGTCAGTGTTCATGTCACATCATTGCAGCAGATAAATTCAGCTTCACTGACATTAAGCCAAGAAAATTAAATTTTTAGGAATAAATTAAAATTTCAATCCATTCATGTTGATCAATTGAAAGCCACTTTAAGTTGACGAAAATTTCCATATGAAAATGATTTTGCCCCTTTTTTGTCGATCGTTTGTTTGCTTGTTTGTTTATGTTAATTATTGTTAATTATAGATATTTTTGCGAGCAATCTGAAATTTAAATTAACTTAAAGAACAACGAAAGAGAGAAAAAGGAAAGGAAGCATTGATACATATAGTATTTAATTGAATAATGTAATTAATTGAATAAGCATTACTTTTTATGCAAAAAATATTTTAGAATTCATTTTAAAACATTAAATGAATTAATAATATAATATAAAATAAATAAATTTTTTTGATATAATTAATAGGTATAAGATAATAAATTTATCTATAATTAATATTTTTTTTTGTTATAATTAATAGATATAAGATAATAAATTTATATCTATAATTAATATATTTATTTTTGATACAATTAATAATTTATAAATATGAGAAAATCATCGAAATATTTAAATTCTTCCATAAAAAAAGTGTAGATCCAGTAAAAAGAAAACAGAAATTGATGTCGAAATTTTGTCAAAAAGAAGCTTATCAGAGCTTTTCGGATATTTTAAGGAAAGAATAAATATAATTTTGAATTCATAAAAATTAATGAATGTTGATAAAGTAGTTTATTTTCAAGTCCATTAATTATAAAACAAAAGATGAAAAATGAGAAAGGTACGATATTGTAGTAAAAGAAGGTTCATCGAAAATATTTTGCAGAAATTGCTTTTTTTTTTTATTCAGCAATTTTCATCAATTATTTTGGTTGCATGAAGGACTTGAATCATCAATAATTGTTGATTTAAGATTTGCATTTAAATTTAAAATTACTAAAACCGGAAAACCGGAAGAAAAAAACGAAATTCAATTGCAAGATTTTCTCAAATATTTTCCTTTTTCCTGATGCTAACAATGATCGTGGAAATTTGTACAATCGCAATAATATGTATGGTAATGAAAGGAAAGAATTTTATAGTTGTTGATAATGTTATGTTTAGAAGCATATATTTTAATAGTGGGAAAAATGGATTCTTCTGACTTGAGGAGACTGGTCAATATTCCGGATATTCCAAATGATTAATTATTTCGGATATTCCGGTCAATATTCCGGATATTCAAATTAATTATTAGTAATAATAATAATACTAATAACATTAGTAGTAATAGTAATAATAAATAACAACAATATGATAATAATAATGATAATAACAGTAGCAATGATAATAATTAATAATTAATAAAAATAAATAATAGCAATGAATAATAATAATTATAAACTATAATGATAGAAATAATGATAGTGAAAGAATCCGAAATTCAGGATTATTAACTTTCGGAAAATTCATATTCTGTCAGAAAATAGAATTGATATTAACAACAAAGAAAAAAAACATGATAGAAAGATATATGTACGACAAATTCACATAGAACTGTAATACTGATTGGAATTGATTAGAATGATAATTTTACATCATTTTTTCTTTCGGGAAAGAATACGAATGACATAAATGAATGGATGAAAATGTGATTAACGTTTATCAAAATTTTGAAGGGAAAGAAATGATAAAGATGACGACGAAGATGACGACGACGACGACGACGACAACGACAAAAATGATAATGAAATATAAAATGTGGAAATTATCATCAAACTACGCTATACAATCTCATTTGATATCAATGATAGTTGTCGTAAATAACAAAAGGAAAAAAAAAAAGAAATTAACCCATAATTATTATCAGCAGCAATAGTATCTTTATCGCGATAACATAGTAACTGTAATAACGACGACAACGACAAAAATGATAATGAAATATAAAATGTGAAAATTATCATCAACTACACTGTAGAATCTCATTTGATATCAACGGTAGTTGTCTTAAATAACAAAAGAAAAAAAAGGAAATTAACCCATAATCATTATCACTACTATCAGTATCATCAATGCGATAACATTAAACATAACAGTAACTGTAATAACAAGAGTAAAATTGCTAAAATGAAATTTGACGAAAGAAAATTGCTGATTTTAATGATAAATGATATGTGTCATTCAATCTTTTCGTGATATAAGAGAAAAAGAGAAAAATAAAATAAAATACTGAAGAAGTAGAAGTAGAAGAAAAAGAAATCATCGTTGTTTCAAATATTTATCTTTCCCTTTTTTTCTTTCGCCATCTCTACAAACAAAATTCTTTCTCTTTTCGGAAAATATTTTAAAAGGAAAAAAGTTGTAAATATTTTTAGAGAAATAAAATTAATGTCATTATGAAACAAAGACAAAGATAAAGACAAAGACAAAAAAGGAAACCAACCAAATATTGGTATGTGAAAAATTTTTGTATTACAACAACTGCCATAAATATTTATTTGAAAATAAAAATAATTTAAATCAATGAAAAATTTTATTGCCACCATTTTTACTTCCAACCATATATAGAAGTTTAGGTATATGAATTCTTATTTATATGTATATCAAATTTATGTATCAAATTTTAGTTACAATTTAATTATATTAATTAAATACCATTATTATTTCTAACCATACATATAAGTTTAGGTATATGAATTCATATTTTTATGTAAATCAAATTTATATATCAAATTTCAATTACGATTTAATTATATCAATTAAATACCGATACAATTCGTTTACAACATTTAATTCAAAATGATATTATCCGATCAACTACGATGAAAAAATTAATGAAAATTAATAATTCTATTTTTTTGTTTTACGTAAAAAGAAAAATAAGATTTTTAAAATAAAAGAATTAATTTTATTTAATTACCATTTCTCCCTTTTGCAGCCATTCAATTACTAAAAATAAATTCAAATTATTCATTTATATGTTTATTATTATTGTAATCTAAAATAAAATTATTATGAATAGCGAATGAATAAGATAGAGAATATCTTTGATAGTGATAATTTATGGTTACTTTGAAATCATATAATAAAAGATTATAGCTTTGGAAAATGCATAGTAATTTATATCAAACAATTAAATCCTAAAATTTTTAATTTTATAATTTCTCTTCTGTTGTATGGATCATATTCAATCAGCTGCCATTTAGTACACCGATCGCTGAACACAACAATTTATCAATCATTACTATCAAAGATCAGCAATATCAGTTTGATTATTATATATAGGATCAAATATTCTAATACATATAAACAATTCCAATGCTAAGTTTTCTTATCTTTTTGTTTTAACAAATTAATTAACAAGCCAAAAATAAAAGATAATAGTTTCGAATTCTTCCCGAAATTCAATTTCAAATTATAACGCTTCACTTTTCGTTCGATTTTTTTCTTGGTTTGAAACTAAAAACGTTTCTCTAAGAAAATATTACTTGAAATCATTAATTAAATTATCGTTGAAAGTTTAAAAAAATAATTTGAAAGGAAAGTTTTCTAAACTACTCTATTTATAAAATATTTAACTAATTTTAGTTAGTTTTAATTAATTAGATCGCTTAACAAATTCCTCATTTTTTGCATTTTACATCACAATTACACATTTTATAGACGTTTCATCCTCGTATTGTCGTAAATATTTCAACAAAAGCAATTAAAATATCGGTTTAAAAAATTTTTTAAAACATTCACTTTTGAAAGCTTCTCAAAATTGATAAAATGATAAGTTGAACTTATTACCACTTTTAAAAGCTATCACTTTTTTTATACTACTCATTTATAAAATATTTAACTGGTTTAGTTTATTATTTAATTTTTTTGATAAAGTGATAAATTAAAAATGATAAGTTGAATTTATAAAATATCACTTTTAAAAGCTTCTCAAAATCGATAAATGATAAGTTAAATTAATAGATTATCACTTTTAAAAGCTTCTCAGAATCGATAAAATAAGTTGAATTTAAAGTTGATAGTTAAACGATCGATTTTACGCTATTTTGACAAAAATGATAAGTTGAATTTATAAAAACATAAATGATATGATACTTTTTTCTGTATTAAATATTAAACAATTAAATTAAAAAATTTGTGATATATTTTTGATATTAATAAACTATAAAATAACAAAAAAGGAAAATAAAAATTTCGATGCATTTTGTCAAATAGCTGTAAAATCGATCGTTTAAAATTTACAAAAAATAAATGGAATGTTAAAGAGAATGAAATGGTACCGAATGAAGTGTGTTTAGTTTATTCCACTTCTTCCTTCAATGATTATTTCATTTCTTTCCAGTTTTGTTTGGTACGAAAAATAAAGAAACGAAAAATAAATAGTAATGAAAAAAAGGGCAAAGAAAACTTTTACCTTGAAATTCATACCATAATAAATTGGCAAATATGATTATAAAATAAATTAGAATAAATGCAAATAACAAATATAATATAAATACAAAAAAAAAATAAATGGAATATAAAATAAATAGAAAAAATATAAAATATAATATAAAATAAATACATAATAACGTGAGAATATGGAATATAAAATAAATTCGTGAAAATATATTTAAATTTTCAAATATTTTTTTAATTGTTAATTTTCATTTTTCTTCTTATATATTCGATATCTTTTTTTACCATTCATCTTTTCTTCTTTCTTTCCTCCTACTTCCTCTACTCTTTCTTTCTCTTTTAATTTAAGTTAAAAATTAAATTTTGAAAATATAACAACAGCGGAAAAAGGAAGGATATATTGAATGAAAATTAAAAAAAAATTATATAATGCAAGCCGATCGCATTAAATTTTAGGACCAATTTTATTCCTAATTTTATAATTATCAAATGGTAATAATATATGTCAAAAATGAACCGTATTAAACTTTACATCTAATATAATAATTATCAAATGGTAATAATATATGTCAAAAGTGAACCGTATTAAATTTCAAATCTAATTTATTTCTAATT